TGGGATTTGGTTTAGGATTTGACTGGGAAAAACATGTGGGATTTGATATGGTTTTATGTATAGATGAACTGTTTAAATTTCCCATGTCTATTCCTAACTAAAATCCTGTCTCAATTTCCCATATGGTTTGACATGGGAAACCACATGGTAAACCACGTGGTTTCCTTCATGGAAGTAGGGTTTTACATGGTTTTTGACATAGGATCCCATGTGGTTTCCCATGTGGTTTCCCATATGGGGATTTTCAATAGGGACCATTATTGAGTGAAATAAAAGTAGCAGAGTTTCGAAAAGGACATTCCAATCTTTTTTATAAAAAATACTTTGTTGAAGGTTATAGCGAAGTCGATATTTTAAAAAAGAAATTCAATGTTAAAGGACCTTTTCCAAAATACTGTGTACTTCCTCGTGGTATAAATACAACAAAAAAGTCAAAAATTATCGAGACCCTTGTACCTCTTATGCCTATTAAAAACCAACACTTTAGGAGACTTTACACAGTTCCTCATCGTCGAGAGATTTGGTAACTTCAAACGAAGAGTAGAAAAAATGAAATAAATGTATTTAATAATAAAAAATATTAACATTAAATAATTAATAATAATTTGTATTTTTTCTGTAAAATTGTTTAGAGGAATATAAAATGTGTTTTTAATAAAGACAATTAAACAACTAAATGTTTCTTTCTTTATTTTAAATAAAATTAATAAAACTGATTAATTTAACTAAAAAATTTACTAGAAGGGGTGGGTCTGCTAAATCTTACGAACCATAGAAAAAATGGCGCTAATGTATGTAAAAAATATTACAAAGGGGGGTGGGTGGTCAAATTTTCCAAAAAAGTGACTTACGTAATTTATGGACGCGGCCCCTTAGATAGTCCATTTTTAAAAGAAAAAATGTGGTAAAAAGTATTAAGTGGAATAAATTCCATGTTGTATTTTAAATTTCCATGACATTTTCAGGTATTCCAGACCTTTTTTAAAAATCCCTAACTTTTACAGGTTTTCCAGGTTCTGTAGCAATTCTAAAATAGAAAGTTTAAATTCTTTTTTATCGCCTTGCTCACACGTAGAATTCACAATAATAGATTATTTTGCAATTTTGATGGTTCCCGTGGAATAGAGCTCCGAGGTAAATTCGCCTATTCAGAAAAATTTAAAATACTCGTTTTTAAGACAATTTTCTGGAAATTAATTTATTCTCTATTCCACGCTTCTTACCGGGTTGTTGACACTCAAGATCTCATTAGAAAGTGAAGTTACTCTCTAAATCTGAATATGTGAAAATTTACATATTTGTACGTTATAAGTCGTCTTCTCGATCAATAAGTGCATATACACTGGTAATAAGTGAAATTTCACTCAGAATAAGTGAAAAATTCACTTATTTATAAGTGTATATGCACTTATTGATCGAGAGGACGACTTATAACGTACAATAAGTGAAATTTCACATATTCAGATTTAGAGAGTAGAATGCCTGTACCGCTCGGGTCGTTAGACGGACGAATGCCAGTGCAACGCCGGTTGCTAGTTGGTATAAATTTTGATCCGGCGGTCGGATCAAATCCTGTACCGCACCTGTACTGCCAACAGTAGAAAGACTGTACCGAAAGTCGGATCTGACTTTGTACCGCGCCAGCAGACATTGTCATCCGAATGGTACAGACTGCCTGCACTGGCATTGACTCTCCAATTCGAACGGCGCGGATTCTAGACGGTTGGACGATCCGGTATTCGTTTGACTTTTCCACCTGGGATGTTTATTGTTATTGTAGAATATACAAATGCAATATTATAGATAAAAAACCCAACTGACCGGTTTACCCCAGGGGGTGGGGCAAACCGGCCAGTTTGCAAATTTTTTTAAAGTTAACACAGTAACTAAACAATAAAAGATAAAGTATAGGTACACTACCGACGGAAATTGTGCGAACGCACAGTGGGGCAAAATGTAGTAAGAGGCGTCAAAATTCTCTAACCACGTCAATTCTTAATTAAAATGAATGCACTTTGGTGGCATGAAGCTTCAAGTATCACATAATTTAAAACCCTTGCCGCATTTACAAAATTCAAAATGGCGCCTGTGCTGTAAGGGCCTACAGTTAGTTATTTTCGTATTTTTTAAAAGTTATGAACATTAAAACTGAATAAATTTGCACAAATAAATTCTAGAAATGTTGCTAAAGGTATATTTTGCGACTGAGGGCTAAACTCGTTAGGAATCTGCATTGCAAGTTAATATTCATAAAATAAATTTAAAAATAATTTAAAATAATTTAAAAAAATTTTTAAAAATGTGAAAAATAATTTTGTTTTTTCCCAATGGGAAATTTACAACTGGCGTAGTACTGCGCCAGCACTGGCGGCAAGGCTGAGAGCCAGCACCGGCATGGCACTGGGATGATAACGCCGTCTGGCGCTGCCGAAGTACTGTCTGTCAGTGCTGCCAGACAGCGCTGGCGCAGCACTGGACCAGTTCTGGCTGAGAATATTGCCGCAATAAATGCCGTATTGTTATTAATTAGTCGTAAATTAATAATTATAAATAATTTAACAACAAAATGGTAAATAATATTAATAAATAGTTAGTATTCATAAAATATTTCTCTTCTTAAAGAAATTGTATTAAAGATGGAGACTAACAATGGATATAGTAAATGAAGTAGAAAAAAATTGTTTATAACATTTAAAAATTAAATAATAAACAATTACAGTAAGTGTGCATTAGATTTTCATATTTTAATACCTAACGATTGGAATCTAGAAATATCGCAAACCTATGAAAATAAACAAAATTGCTGACGAGGGGAATCGAACCTACGACCTACGGACTAAAAGACTAACGCTCTAACCACTATGCTAACGACACATGTGTACAGTAAAGTATTAACATCTCAGTATCATTCAGACATACAATTATTGAGTCAAAGATGAGAAAAAAATAGGGATACGTTAGAAATAATAAATTGAAATAAAATAAATTAAACTAAATTTTTAATAATTAAATTAAATTACTTTACTTATTGCATTTAACATTTTACGTAATTCTTAAATTACGTGGTAATTTTTAAATAATTTTTTATTCATAGTAAGAAGTATAATAGTATTTTAATAGGAACCAAATTATTATTGAGATTAAAGTTTGTTTATAATTGTAATTTGTTTAAATAATTTATTATTTACAAAATTAGACAATTGTGTTAAATTGTTATTATTAAATTTAATAAGAATAAAAAAAAAACAACTGAAAAGTAAAATATTAATTTTTTCAATAAATTTATATTTCTAAACATTCATAAACTTTTTTATAATTTTTTTCAAGTTTATGTCAAAAAGGCAATGTTGGCAAAGAGCGTTCTAAACAATTTTTCTATACTCAGCCAGCACTTGCCGCCGTGGCTTGTCCAAGCTTTTGCGAAACAAAAATTCTGTACTGCGCCAGCACTAATTGTCGAGGCTCGGCTAGACTACGCCGAACAATCGTCTGAGTACTAAGCCAGTGGTGAACATCGGCACTACACTGGCATTTCCCATTGGGTCTCTGTTTAATAAATGTTGATTGTAATGACTAGATAGAGTTTGGAGCTCAGTTTTAAATTTGACTTTGCAGTTTGCAAAACGTTTCTACTTAATTTGACAAATTATTTTTCTTTCATTGTGAATTATTGTATTGTAAACCGTTATTTATTTATTTATTATCTACACCACCGTCCAAAAGTATCAGGACGATTACATTCTACTCTATAAAAAAACATGCCATCACTTTTTCAATCATATCTCGGAAATAAAAGGAGATACAAGAAATAATTAAATACGGTTAGAAAGCTGATTAAATTCTGCGTAAAATAAGCTGTCTGTAAAGTCATTTCGTTAATTATTTTTTAAGTTGTAGAGTGAGAAAGAAATAAAAAAAATATCAAATTTTTTCATTTTTGTCTCTTGATTTCAACTTTTTCAAAAATCTAGAAAAATTTAGATAAAATTTTTCTAAAAACACAGAAATCTTCGTTAGAATTTCAGCTTTGAAATAAGCCTTCAAAGATTAAAAAAGGTTAATCCGTCTTTGATATATCATTAAAAATGTGAAGCCGTGTTTCGACCGATTGGTGCATTGAAATTTAACTGTGACAACTCGATTTTGGCTTCGCGCGGCTGCAAATGAGAGAGAAAGCAGGGACGAATTCATGCGGGGGAACGATGAACTTTTGAGTTTCTTTATATTACTCGTCAAACATCATTATTTATTATTCTCCAGAAAAAATTCGTCCCTATTTTCTCTAATTCGCTGCCGCGCGAAGCCAGAATCGAGTCGTCACAGTTGAATTTCAATGCAACCAATCGGTCAAAACACGGCATCACATTTTTAATGATATATCGAAGACGGATTAACCTTTTTTAATTTTCGAAGGCTTATTTTAAAGCTGAAATTCTAACGAAGATTTCTGTGTTTTTAGAAAAATTTTATCTAAATTTTTCTAGATTTTTGAAAAAGTTGAAGTCAAGAGACAAAAATGAGAAAATTTGATAATTTTTTTTTATTTCTTTCTCACTCTACAACTTAAAAAATAATTAACGAAATGACTTCAAAGACGGCTTATTTTACGCAAAATTTAATCAGCTTTCTTACCATATTTAAGTTTTTTTTGTACCTCCTTTTATTTCCGAGATGTTAAGAATGAATTTATTTATTATTTAATAAATATTAAATATTTAAATTATTTCACCCCGTAGTGAACGTCAATGCTCTAAGGAAACAAATAATTTTATTTAAAGGTAGTGGATTCCTTTTTATTCTTGGTTATCATTTCAACCAATCGGGTGAGAGACCGTATTTTGGAAAGGAATGAATTTATTAATAGGATAATCTAATTTTTAAATAAAATCAGCAATAAAATAATATTAAATGACAAACTTTTATTATATATTGAAAACAATCGTTTATGATAATGAATTGTGTATGTGTACTTTTTGTGTTTGCGTATTCAGTATACTCACTTTAACTGTGTTGTAGTGTCTGGAACCTTATATCAAGATTTATTTTATTATTATCTTTTTAATTTTTTTAAAATATTTTTCACATATAAAAATACTATGTCAATTACTCTTTTTAAATCACTCAATGAAAATCTCTGGAGTCCCTTCTTGAGAAGTAAAGGCAACTTTTGCCTAGCTTCGGCTACTATGGCCAAACATACTTTGTTTCGCCAAGATTCACGGGCAACTGCCATGATTTCCCTTTGTCGATTCTTTTTATTGAACGACATTTTGGTGGGAAAGACCTACTTATTACTAAGTTATTACTTAATGATTATCTGCTACCTTGCAGATTTGTTTGAATGTCATTACCCAAGTTCTGTTGCTTTGATGAACCACTTTTTACATTGAGAAATATCGTAAGTAAATTCTACTCACTCTTAAAGGATATTTGACACAGTTTTGCACATTATAAAGTATCACAATCTTCATTTCATTATGTAGATCTTAATACAAAATTCCTTACTGAATGTTGTAATATGTGTGTTACAAAGTGTCATCATGTGTTAAAAGTGTGATTGTTACCTCATAAATCGACATGAATAAATGCTTATTGAGTTCATTTAAATACAATATGTTTTTTACTAAAAATATAAAAATGTTACGAAGTCATACGTAACACGAGATATGATTGAAAAAGTGATGGCATGTTTTTTCATAGAGTCGAAAGTAATCGTCCTGATACTTTTGGACGGTAGTGTATGTGTTATCTATTATTTATTTATTGCTTTTATACCAAGACGCATTATTTATTTATGGTATGTTTATTATTTTTATTATTTATTTTTTTTATTTAAAAAAAAAATTTTTTTTACTTATTTTTTTACTATTTACTATTTTTATTTATCATTAATTTTCATAATTGTATTATTAATTTTTCATAAATTTTTTAATAATTTTTTAAATTGTTATTAACTTGTAAGTAATTTCGTTACTAATTATTTTTCACATTCTATAAAATTAAAAAAAAAATTTTTTCAATTATTTTTAAATTAATTTTATGAATATTAAGTTCCTTTATAATTTTCTGACTCCAGACTCTACTCCATCGTCAGGGGATAAAAATTTAAGTCTTCGTATATTTTAATTATTATTTTTTGGTAAGATTTATCTATTAAATTTTATTTTATTCATTGTTAAATTATTTTTTACATTCTCATCATATGAGAAAGTATTAGTTTTGGTCGAAAATTGACTTTCGCTAATTTCATGAAATCTCGACGTTTTGGGGTCCCCTGAACCCAGAAATCATGGTCCGGCGATGGTGTCTGTCTGTTCGTCTGTCTGTCTGTCTGTCTGTAGACCAAAATCATGTAGACCAATCATCATGCAAATCATGTTTCTGCTAAGAGAGTTAGTATAATTAAAAATAACTTTTCAATTTTAATCATCAAGACCAAAAATTAGAGTTGTGCAAAAAGCTTGAAGCTTGAATCTTGATCGAGCTTTTTCGAGCTTTTTATTTTTCGAGCCGAGCCGAGCTGTGTAAAAAGCTCGAATAGTTTCGAGTACTCGAATTCACTCTAGTGCTCAAATTTAATCGAGTCCTCGAATTTACCCGAGTTCTCGAATTTTTCGAGTACGTGAAGTCACTCAAGTACTCGAAAATGTCGAGTACTTGATACATCGAACCGGCTTGGACTTGGCTCGTATCGACATTTCGAGCTTTTTGCACATCTCTACCAAAAATATGCATTTTAATCCACTTAATCTCCCAATCATCAGCAAACAAAAACATGTGATGAGAATGTAATCCTTAAAGTCGTAGTAACTTTAAGAAAAAAAATATTTTATTAAACATATAATAGGAAATAATAACAAGAACACAAATAATGCAAAACAATTTTAGACAACCGCGAGCCAATTGCGCGCGAAGCGCGCAACATCAAACGGAGCGCGAAGCGCGACGATCAATATTCGCGCGCCCCGCGGCGCGCTGAAACTTGCGAGCCCCCGCGCGAAGCGCGGATGAGAATGTGTCCGCGCTTGCGCAGACAGATTTTTTATTATTATTTTAATTATGTACATAATTTTTATTATTATTTTTATTTTGTCTATTTTTTTGGATAGACTCCCTGAAGAGGAAATCATTTAGATTTCGAAACGTTGGAGTAAATAAATATTTTATTCATTGTCCGAATGTTTTCGTTTAATTTGCCTTAATTTATAAAGGATCTCGGACGTTAAAGATTATTTAAGTAATTATATTATTATAACAACTTTCATTAAAAATTATTTAAAACTCTATTAAAACCAGAAACGGGAAATATTTGCATTATAAAACTGTGACTTCATAATGGTTCAAATGCCCACAATTAAATATTTGAACAAGCAAAGGATAGAAATAATACAGATGAGGAATTCCGCTCACGTTGGAAGAATAATTGTTGAAATGATACTCAGTAGTATGAGAAATTGGCGAAGTCATGTGTGCATACACATGACTCAGAAGAACGCATTCTTTACTTCGTAAACACAGTAAAGTCATTGGAGTTTGAAATGATGACAGTTGGAAAAAATGGCACTGTTTGCGAAAGGTCGTGAACATTACACGCACGAACGATAAATATTGTTTCAAGAACCTTGCGCGCAAGGCTGTTACATGACCGATGTAAACACCCACAAGTCCAAGAACATCCCTAAGGTCATCACCTTTACCGATTGTTTGAAAGCATAGAAATTGTCTATAAGATTTACCCGATATATGATAAAAGTGTATTCTTGTGGCTTTTGACACAAGAAAGGAACGTACCTCACTGCTACCCAAGTAGCACATAAAAATAATATTAACCTTTTAAGGACCAAATTTGTACAAAAATTTTACTTAAAGTTTGGCAATATTTTCCAAATAATAAGAAAAATTTGGCATCTGTCATTTCTTATAGCCTAAATGGTGCATCAAAGAATACTGTAAATTAAAAAATAAACAAATTATAGTGAGTTAATAAAAAAATGTAGATTTTTAATGTTAATTTTTTAATTAAAACTTTTTAGACAATTTATAACTTTTAAATATCTCCGAAAGGAACAAATATGGCGTCAAAAATGTCTAAGCTTTGATATGGTAACATAGATTTAATTAAAAAACAAAATGGGGGCACTGAAATATTAATTAAATTTAATTTTTAATAACAAATATACACCTATCCTATTGAAAAAATACACGTGTAGATTTGGCCATTATGTGTATTTTATACTTTGATATTTTTTCAAAATTTGAAGAATTTTTACACGTGTCATTTATACTTTACAATTTTGAAAGAATAACAAAGTATAAATTACACGTGTAACAATTCTTAAAATTTTGAAAAAATATCAAAGTATAAGTTACACGCGTATTTTTTCAATAGGGTAGTTTCAAAAAATTAAAAAACTTTACGGTCTAACTCAAAAATCGTTACTCGGGGGTTTTCGGGGTCTCTGATTACGAATCCGTTGTCGATCTTAAATGTGATTCCCCTGTTGGGTGCCGGACCAGCAACGAATAATGACACCATTTGTAGTCGGCAGCATTGTATATTATAGTGCCGAGCCGGCACTAATACACAACCGGGCCGGTACTATGCCGGCACCAAAAAATTACATTTCAGTCTACTTAATTGTTTAATTATTATTATTATTATTAATAATTCTTAAACAGAAACAGTAGATATATTAAATTTTGAAACAGATAAACATAAACAATTAATGAAAAATCTGAAGACTCGAAGAATTGAACTCCGGACTCTGAGGCTGCAAAGTCGACGCAACATCCGCTAACCTGAACCTGCATATAAAAGTAAATGCAAAGTGTGCTTATAAAGTTAAACTGGTATTCCAGCCGGCAGTAGTTTTGGGCCGGCACTGATATACAACCAGTGCTGTACCTGTCCGGTACTTGTTTTTTCAATTTTACAAATTTATTAGTTAATTTTTTACTTTTTTCTTGCACCAGTATAATACCGGCAAACAACAGGCTAGGTACCGGGCCGGCATCAATAAACAAATTGGCCGGTACTAATATAATTGCCGGCATAACTAATGAGGCTGTGTAAAAACACAAGTAAATTTACATACTGGGCCGGTACCAATATTGTTGCCGGTATAAATCCTGTGGCGGTTAAACATAATTAAATTTCGGTACCAGCCCGGTACTAATATTCTTGCTGGCGTAACTCCTGTGGCGGTATTAAAATATAAGTAAATTGTGGCACCGGGCATGCGAATAACATTTTAGAAAGAACGTGCAGCGTTATACACCAGTCTTCAGCCTACATAAGGGGTCGTCTATATACCACGTGGACAGTTTAGGGGGAGGGGGGGGGTTCGCAAAAAATCCACGATTTTCCACGAGGGGGAGGGGGGTCAATACAAATGTCCACGTGGACACAAAAGATTAATTTTATATCTTTTTTTTCTTTTTATTCAACTTTATTATTAAATTATTATTAGATTGTGATCAGAAAATATTTGTAATCCGAAATTTATTTAACTGTCAAAAAACGCCAAATTCTTTTTTAATTTATATTACAAAATCATTATCGTAAATACACAAATATGAATATATGCAAATTTGACAATTAGGAATACAAAGCAACCTCTACAAACTCTTACAAATCCAAAAAAAAAATAATTTCTATTATTGTTTATGTGAAGGCTTAAAGCTGTTGGATTTTAGAAAATTTAAGATTTGTTACCGAAGAGATTAAGTATTTCTACTAATATGATAATTGAAGATATATTTCTGCCAAAGTCCTCTCTATAATACTAAAAATGGTATTTACCTATTTAATAATATTTTAAGATAATTTAATCTTTATTGAATTTTAAAGAAGTTTGTTATAAAAAAATTTAAAGAATTTTTTAATTGTATTTCTTATTAAATATCTTTTTATTATTCACTATTTTAGAATAAAAAACCCGATTGTCCACGTGGACAATCAGGGGGGGTCAAAAAGTGTCTAAAAAGTGTCCACGTGGTATATGGACGACCCCTAACTTGGCTATACAAGTGTCTCTGTAGAATTTCTTAATAATAACCTTAACTAATTTTGCGTCTACAGAACGACTTGGAAATTAGGAATACTTGCATTTGCCTGGACAACCCGTCTAATGGGTTTTCTCGCAAGTGGAGAGGGAAACTGTAGAAAACCTCTCCAAGTATTTTATTCCCTATCACCCAATTCTAAAAGAGAAGAGTTTAATAACGAGATTGAGAGCGGTGTTCAATGCTTTATCGAAGACGAGTTCGGGTGTTCTTGAACGAGATGATGATGGTGAGACCGACTATTTAGGATGCAGTAATGGAACTGATGCTTCGGTTCATACTATCTGTGATTGCCCCTGGAGCGGAAATCGAGAAAATGTATCGTCAGTTTCTCATTTATCCTGATGATCGAAAATATCAGAAAATACTTTGGCGATTCGATTCCAATCAGCCGCTGAAGGTCTATAAATTGAGAACAATTACGTATGGCACGGCTTCAGCCCCGTTCCTGGCGACGAGATGTTCCGGAAGCAGCAACAGCATTGCGAAACGATATCTATGTAGACGATGCAATGACTGGAAGAGATTCATATGAGAAAGCTGATCTTCTGATCAAGGAATTGATCAACTTAAAATCCAAGGTTGGTCTGTGATTATGCAAATGGGATGCTCTAGTGCCAGAGGAAATGGAACAAAACTGGCGAATGCTTCGAACAAGCAAAGTAGAAAATTCTTCTAAAGTGAATTTAAGTTTTCCCATAATTCGACGAAAATGATTTTTAACGCTTCTTACCCCCACTTCACATAATATTCCGAAATGAGGAGCATGAGAAGGGGCAAAAAACTAATTTGCAGCTAACCGACAGATTAGTTTGGTCGGATAAATTCCTTGCTCGGACAACGTTGTAGGACCAAGGATACTTGGTTCGCGCCCATTATCCTGGGATTTTTCCGGCACGTGAGATAATCTGAGCGGGAGGTTTGACGTCGAGGTATAATGATGTGCACTGTCGATTATTGTCCGGTATACACGATTAGAACTCGACTGTCGATAAACCGATTGTATTCGGAGAGGTTTTCTACAGTTTTCCTCTCCACTGGCGAAAAAAACCATTAGATGGGTTGTCCAGGCAAATGCGAGTACTCTTAATTTTCAAGTCGTTCTGTAGACACAAAAATTTAGTATTAAGTTATTCTATAGACAAAAATTGTAAGAGAAATTGTAGAAACACTTGTATAGCTAAGATATGTAGGCTGAAGACGGGTGTATAAACAAATAATAATAAAAACTGATTTGCAGCTCCCACAAAAAATTTTACCGTTATCGCTATACATATGTGAAGGCTTACCACGTCTCGAGACAAATCGCTGAAAGGCCGCAAGAAAGGCATAAGAAGTCAAGTCTGAAACCAACTGCGGAGATGAACCGCGCGAACGCAATAAATAAATAAAGCTATGTGAGCTTTATGGCTTTTATAACCTCTGTCTGAACTGGTTTTAACTTTAAAGGGTCCATTAGAATCTACCAAAATACCTATGTGTAAGTGTGAATTAGTCTAAAACCAACTCGAGATGAACCGCGGGAACGCAATAAATAAATAAAGCTATGTAAGCTTTATGGCTTTTATAACTTCTGCCTGAACTGGTTTTAACTTCAAACGGTCCATTAGAATCTACCAAAATACCTATGTGTAAGTGTGAATTCAAAGACGCACTATTTAAAGTTAGACTTGAGCCGTTAAACACTACACGTAGTACAGTAATAGAACTATTTATTTTTATAATACAATGATGCAGTATATAAACTATTTGGTCTCCTTTATCCTCTAAACTAACCAAACGTATGTGATTTAATTAAACACTAGTCACTAATTTTGCGCGCTACGCACGCCCCCTGTCTTTCTGCTATTAAAAATGGTAATGTTTTTACACCGAAAAGTTCTAATATTATTCTAAAGATAAATACATAGTTATTAATAACATTTTATCTTTAAAGGATTAAATTTTGTAAACCTAAATTGTCTTTAAAAGATTAAATTATTGTTTTAAATTTTCTATACCTATTCTCTTTTTGAATAATATGTTCTGGTAATATAACATTATCACCTGCATCATTTAATTGACCATTGCCAACTTTAAGTAAAAAATCTACAAATTCCATTTCTTGTGGTAAAGCTCTCATTTTATCTGTTAATGTGTTTTTTAAAAATATTTCCATAGTTTACTATTTTTATTGATAAATTTACTATTTTTTATTAATAAATTTACTATTTTTGATCTAGTACCCCGTTCTTTAATTGGTAAAGTTTGTCGAAAATCTCTGCCTAGAATTACAATTTTACCACCAAAAGGTTCGTTGGAATTCATTATAGTTTTAATAGATAATCCATAATTTCTAAAGCATATTTTGGAGCCATTGGTGCTTCATCCCAAATAAAAATATCTATATTTTTAAAAAGAGGTCTTCTTTAGATTGAACTTCCCTCTCTAGGGGTTTCAAGACCTTGCCGTTGGTGGGAGGCGCACGAGAGGCTTTAACCCAGTGGGAGGCTACTTCTCGATATTTCTCGTGGGGACTGAGGGGTCGAACCCTTCAAAATAGGTCGGCCGCTACAGAAACTGCATCTTCTGTGTTTCGCTGGGCTGTCCCAGGGCACGGGGATTTAGAGAAATATCGAGAGAGACGGGATGGACAGAGGCTTCACCGCGGGATTATTCGGAAGACTTCCTACTGGTGGAAGTATAAACAAGAAGAAACCCTTCCATGGTTACGTTGGCTGTGCCTATCTTATCTTGGACGAGACTCTGGGATACCAGGTGACCTCTCAGATGTAATTTAGCCTTTTCCTTAAATAGAGGCTCTTTAAGGATTGACCTTCTTTTCCTCTTTTCTCGTGGGAGCATAATGGATACTACAGAAATTAATTAAAATAAAACCACACACGTGAGCGTCGAAGAGCCCTTTTTGGGGGATCACGATGCTGGCGATAAAGGTGTGAACGCGACAAAGGAGACCGTGAGTCAGTCTTAAATATGGCTGCTTCCGGGATCCACTGTATGCAGATTAACTTGCATCATTGTAAAGGCGCTTCGGCGATTCTAGCCAGGAACTTTACAAGGATGCAGGCAGATATAGCCTCTGTTCAAGAACCTTGGGTTTACAAGGGTAAGATTAGAGGTCTAAGTGTCTGTGGGGTGCTAGTTAGTTCACCACAGGAATCAGTTCCAAGAGCTTGTCTGATCTATAAAGGTCTAGACGCTTTCCCTCTATTAGAATTAACTACCAGGGACTTAGCTGTTGTTAAGGCTAAGTACTTGGAAAAGAACGGAAATAAAAGGGAGGTTGTAGTAGCTTCCGCTTATTTTCCGGGATCGGGGGATGACCCCGCACCACCTACAGAGGTGGAGAAGTTTGTAGATTACTGTCAACGGCAAGGTCTTCCTTTGATAATAGGTTGTGATGCCAATGCGTACCATGTCGTATGGAGCAGCTCTGACATTAACGACAGAGGCAGAAGACTTTTAGATTTTCTGATAGATACGGATTTAGAAATTTTAAATCAGGGTAATGAGCCAACTTTCGTAACTGTTAACAGAAAAGAAGTGTTAGATATTACGATCTGTTCCAAGTCTGTGTGGAGTGTTGTGAGAGACTAGAGGGTGTCTGATGAAGATTCCCTCTCGGACCGCAGACTTATTACATTCAGAATGGAATCGAAAGATCGGGAACATAAATGGGGACGTAATCCTAAGGGTACTGATTGGATTTCATATATTGAGAACCTCAAGGTTTCTATAGAGTGCTTCCCCACCTCTTATAGAACATATGAAGAGTTGGAACTCGTAGCGGAATATCTGCGAGATTCGATTTTCTGCTCTTTTGCAAGAAACTGTATAGCCAAAAAAGTGGACTCTAACAGGGGTAGCAAATGGTGGAACTCCTGTTTGGAGGGACATAGGCAAACAGTAAGAAAGCTTTTCAATAAAGCCAAGAAACGTAAGAATCAGCAAGCATGGGATGAATATCATGCCGCTCGTAATTCTTACAAGAAAGAGGTAGAGAAGGCACGGGGTGTCAGCTGGAGGAGCTTTTGCGAGGGAATCGAAAGAGTACCAGATGCATCCAGACTCCATAAGGAATTTTCAAAATTCACTGATTTAAAATTTTCCGCCAAATTACATAGTGAAAATTCTACCGATATTGGATCCGCCATTTTAAATTTTTGAAAAAATTAGGTCAAATTTATCATCAGCGACCCCAAAAACCCCCGAGTGACAAGTTTCAAAAGAATACAATCATTTTTTAAATTTTTTTCGTCCGCCCTATTGGATCCGCCATTTTGAATTTTTGAAATCTAAGGTTATATTTGTAACCAGCGAACCCAAAAAACCCCGAGTAAGAAGTTTCATGAGAATTTGTTTGATTTTTAAAAATAAGTCTGCCATTTTAAATTTTCGAAATATAAGGTTATATTCGTTATCAGCGACCCCAAAAGTCCCCGAGTGATAAGTTTCAAGAGAATACAATCATTTTTTAAGTTTGTCGTCCGCCATATTGGATCCGACATTTTGAATTTTTAAAAAATAAGGTCATATTCGTCATCAGCGACCCCAAAAACCCCCGAGTGACAGGTTTCAAGCAAAGTTAACTATTTTTGTAAATTTCCTCCATTTGTTTATAATATTGTTTAAAAAAAGTAACTTTGGTCGCCATTTTGTGGCAGCCATTTAAAAATTTAATTCCCAAAATAGTCCTATCTTGTAGCCCAACTATTTTTGACGCGATATTTATAACAGTAGAAGGTATGCTGAAGGGTTTAGCTATAACAAATTAAAAAAAAAACAAATTAAAATTCTTAAAAAATCGTGTTTTTTGTTAAAAAATGTTAAATAAATTGTTTATTTAACATTTTTTAGTTTTTTTCAGCACGCCATTCTAAAAAATAGCGATACATAATTTACCTCTTTGAGAATGTTGTTTTATCAAAACTCCAGCCATGTGGGATAAAAGGTAATTGTTTATGCAATTTGTAATTCCTTTAATCTTAGCACTGGATAAATAGTTTTTTTCACACAAAAAACCAACTTTATTTATTTAAGCCAATTTAAATTTTAAACTGACATGTGTCGATAACAGGAGCGACGTTTCAACACGTCTTTAATGCATGACTGCTCGAACTGAACTCCCAGTTCTCTCTTATCCAGGTTCGACTGTATTTGGAAACTTTTTTAACTGAATTATCTTAACTACATAATATTGAATTGAATGTCAAATGGACTTTAAAACTGAGAAATAAGAATTTTTTTTGCAAGTACACTACCGGCGGAAATTGTACGACCGACAACATCTCGAGCTATTAAAAAACACACCCGCACAAAAACAGTGATAACTCCGTCAAAAATGAAGCTAGATGTTTTTTTTAAATTGCATTGAAAAGCTTATTAAATTTTCAATGAAATGATACTATTTTCATTTGTATTCCATAAATAGGAAGCGAGATATCATGTTATAAACAAAAAAGAATAATTCTATTTTTTTCGCAATTTCTTACCCTGACTTTGACTCCTGGCAAAATTTAGAAAAGTTGATGAAAAAAATTGTTACTTTCACAGACTATTCCTTGCAATCTAAGCTTTAAGTAGAATCCAAGAACAGCAAAAAATATTAACGGGTTCCCGAGATATTACAAAAAGAGTCGGACCGTGCGAAGCAAAATTTTCAATGATCGTCTTCTCTAATTTACCCTTGAGTCAGTTACGTGGCTGTGAAAAAAAAGTCGAAAATAAATTTTATCAAGTACATGCTTACTGGGATCCTCTATGTAAATATCATAATAAATAATAAATTAAATTAAAAATTGGATCCCAGTAAGAATGTACTTAGCAAAATTCATTTTTACTGGGATCCACTTTTTAATTTAATTTATTACATAATGATATTTAAATAGAGGATCCCAGTAAGCATGTACTTGGTAAAATTTATTTTCGACTCTTTTTTCACAGCTACGTAACTGACTCAAGGGCGAATTAGAGAAAACGATAATTGAAAATTTTGCTTCGCACGGTCCGACTCTTTTTGTAATATCTCGGGAACTCGTTAATAATTTTTTACTGTTCTTGGTCTCTATTTAAAGCTTAGATTACAAGGAATAGTCTGTGAAAGTAAAAATTTTTTTCATCATTTTTTCTAAATTTTGCCAGAAGTCAAAGTCAGGGTAAGAAATTGCGAAAAAATAGAATTATTCTTTTTTGTTTATAACATGATATCTCGCTTCCTGTTTATGCAAAACAAATGAAAATAGTATCATTTCATTGGAAATTTAATAAGCTTTTCAATGCAATTTAAAAAAAGCATCTAGCTTCATTTTTGACAGAGTTATCACTGTTTTTGTGCGGGTGTGTTTTTAATAGCTCGAGGTGTTAGCGGTCAATCTGCTCGCTGCTTGATAGAAACAATAGGCAAGGTCACACAGCATGGTGGTATTATAAACAACTAAAAAGAAAGTCTAAACAGTAGCAAATATTATTTTCATACTACTTAAATTCAGCAAAGACTTGGTATTATGAATATTCTTTTCTGCTTCTTAAATTCCTATTTTCCAAATTTCCTGCTTCACTCTGATTCTCATTGTGCTTGCGATTAGCCTGTGTGAATATAATTGCTTTCGAAATTGGTAAATAATAGTTATAATACACTACAATTTAAAATACATTTTTTTATATTTAATAGGGGAGATTGGGGAATTGTGGTCCACCTCAATTATTTAATAATATTTACAAGTTTGATCATACAATTTTTTTAAATTTTCTTTTGTTTGTCAAAAGTAAAGTTTTCATTCGTATTTCATGACTTTACAACGCTTTACAATTACCTACAAACCGTTAACAAAAATCACCTGAAAAATTGTATTCAAATA